AAGTGTACTGAATAATATGAGGTAAACATTATTTCGTTGCAAACTTTTATTTTTTTTAAATCACCTATATCAATGTATGATCAAGTAGTATTACGACTGCGTTGCAAATAATTATCTACCATTATTTCCATGAATATCGCGTGATTAACTACATGTTGTTTTAGCAACCCTACTTTTAATGTATACATTGGTCCCAATAATTCCATACTATTATTTCTAGTAATTTATCTTTAATATCTTTGTGTTCCACCAACTCCTGATTCTAAACTAGTTTCTCGGCTTACTTACAAATCTCTTTAACGTGTTTTATTGACTTCCTTGCATGTTAATATTGGCGTCGCAAGAAGTAAAAGAACCGAAGACTTCCTTATCGTCATCTTGTGCATCTTGCGCCATGCAAATTCCTGGACGAGCATGCTTCACGAGTCGTGATGCTTTCAAGAGTTTATTGCATATTATTACCTTCATGATGGGATGTTTTTCACCAATGTTCACGGATATTTTGTAATATAATGAAACATAATCGGGCTTTCATATCGCAAATAGTCAGTGTTATTCCACGTGAAATTAAAATACTTCTAACAACTAGTGGCAGCAACACATACGAATTTAAACTTTTTATTTTCGATTCAGCGAGTCAAACAAATTTTTCAACAAAGAAGAAGATTAAGTGAGAAGTTTCGTCCGCTGTTTTGCCTTATTAGTAATTTTAAATTAAAAATTAACTAGCGGTGCTCCAACAGCACATTCGTTTTTCTAATAATTTCAATTTTTGAAAATTCAGAGTCCGCCAGAAATAGGAATTGCACCAATTTGTATCTTTTTTTGATAACACGAAAAGAAAATCTAAAGAAAGAACTTGTAGCTATTTCTTTGAGAAAATACTTGTTTGAAAATCGCCTGTATTTCATGCAAAAGTACGCGAAAACTACTCATATTTTCGAAACATTGTACATAAAATAATTTCAAGAACTGTCCTTAAAGAGCATATTTCATTAAGGAGAAAATCTCTCTCTTCAATGCTGTAGTTGTTGAAAAGCACCGAAAGAAAATTTTGAACCTTCGTAATTTTCGCAAAATTTAGGATTTTAACGAAACTGAGATCAGCGCCATTCTTTTCAGCATCTTTTACGCCATCCGGGAACAAAGTTGAATCCAAAATTATCGAGCTATTTTCGAGAAAATTTTGAAAATATTGAGGCGTAATGTTAAGTATCCGCAAAAATAAAAATATCCGTTTCAAACTTAGAAGGCCTCGCGGTCGTTTAGATTGGTTGAGGGTTATCAATTCTGTAGAAAATCGTCTGAACTATTTAAGCGCTAGCGTTGACCACATGCAGACGCACAGACAGACGTTTTACCGTGATTCAATTCACTCCACTTCAATCAATCCACTAAAACAGCGTGTTAGTGGAAGTAATTTACTACATATATAAGTAAGATTTTTCCATTTTTTCGTTAACAGAGCCCAGCAATATGGGGTTTTCTGTAGAAAAAACGCAGTTTTGCAGCGCAAGATGCAATACTTTATTTTCATATGAAGACAAGAAAGTAATAAAATGTGATAACACAAACAAGTTTTCACTTTACACATTCAAAAAACGAATCTACAGAAATGTCTTCTAATGACCTGCTTTACAATTTCCGCCTTTTAGAGAACACGTGTGAATGAAGTGGTAATATCTACATCAACTGTTGCAGTGTTATCTGCCATTAGAGTGACAATATCTGAAAGTTCTTTCAATGTCCAATTGCCGTGGGTGTTCGTTATCGTACCATTTACGCCTATGTAAATATAGATGCGTTAACAGAATAAATCAGAGGATGGAGTTTATCCAAAACGCATTTAACTTCTAAAATAAATACTCACATACAAGAGAAAATATTTATCTCACCAGTGTTCAAATTTATGGGTAAAATATGATTGCTGGTAAAATGCGGATATAGTCCGGAATGCTTTCTGTGAGTTTTTTTTATTATGAATATTTTCATTTATCTGTGTTCTACGAGTCAGTAGAGGAATTGGTATCTGGTTCCTTTACAACTTAGTATGTATACTACTTACGTATTACCAAAAATAAGCTTTAATTAACCTTAATTATTAATTTAATTAAACATTTAAAGTCGAAATCTAAAACATAATTTCAATATTTATTTCTAAAATGAATTTCTTATTTATACGAATATATAGTGAAATTAGTTTCGTGACAAATGTATCTTCAAATAGTAGATCTTTAAATGTTAAGATTCCATTACTCTTTTAAGTGAAGTTCAAAATGAAGATTCTTCTCTTTATTGACGTCAGTAAGCCTACTCACTGATTGTTACAGCAACAAATACTTATTCTCGAGGAGAGGGTGCCTTTCAAGAAATAAGTTCATTTATCTTCTCATCCTAGAAAACAATCTCGTCCTTCTTCATGAGTAGTTTCCACAACTTAAAAATCTGTTTTGGTCGTAAATAATGTTTCTTGGAATACCAGTCCAACTGAAAAAACATGAAAATTCTTCATAATATCCTATTTGTCGGTTTTTCACTATAATTATTATTAATTTTTTTCTAGAGCCTTTTCCAGCTGTCAGCCGCTAACTCTTTACGTCCCAATGGGACGCATACTCGACTTTACACTAGACACCAACACACTTGAAAGCTGATCTGATCTGGGGCCAGAAGAAAGCGAGGCCCTCCGCGACCACACCTACTTGAGAGACAAGGGACAAACAGCCATGCCCAAGGCGGGTTGGTAACCCGCGACCCTCCGGACCGAAGCGGTGAATTGGTACACGCTGTTAGCCACCTCGGACATCCAGGTCGGCATAATTACTACTACTATGTGCTGTAAATTAAACAGATCGGTCTCTACTAAATACTGAATCGATGGATCGGGTAACATCAATTTTAGAAATAATCGTTTGAACGGTTTTGGCTCTAGCGTTGACCACAGACAGACCGACGGACAAACTTTTGTCGTCAATGAATTTTTCGTATGAAGGACCCAATAAACGATTTTGACTACACAACGTGTTTGAGTATTTTACTACATAGGGGAATATTTACCCACTTCTTCGATACCAGGACCCCACATTAGAAATTTCTCTCTCAAAAAACTGCCGTTTTTTGCCGCAGCATTACTTCTTCTGTATTACGTAATTAAAATGCGACAAAACAATTCAAAACATAATAAAGACACAAACATTTGCTTGTATTTTCATCAACTTTGAATGAGACTTGAAGAAGTAAGGCTCGAAGCCTTGACAATAAGGACGATATAAACGTCAAATACTTCACACTATGTTACGATCATTGGGGTCTGATCATCACGTCAGCGCTGAGATCAAAGTGGGCGAATGCTTCTACGACAACACATGCGGGGGCGGTCGCCTCGCTCGTCGCCGATGAGTGAAGCAAACGACGTCCCCCATGTCGTGAGATAAATTCCTCGACCCGTCGTTGGGTTAATAGATGCAAACACATGCGCTCAGAATTGGACCATATTATATACGTAGTGGTTGAAAAATGTATTATTCACACAACACCATCGTTATCCGGAAGACATCGTGTGGGATATTTAAACCACCACACGCGGGTTGAGCTTGAGTGCAGAAAGCAAACATTTAATGCGAAAATTCTCAGCACGGATAGAAGGGAGGACCACTGGCGTAAAGATCGGGCACACAAGGCTCGCAATACGGGCGGGCCCGGGTAAAAGAAGGCCTACTTTTAGGTCTGAAGGTATTGCGATTAAAATAAATATTAACTCATTCTCTGACACTTTGTAATAGTTGATACAATAAAATATTAAAAACAGCGTCTTGCAGAAGAACGATTTTTTCCGCTTCGGTGGTTAAAGTCACCCTGTTCCTAAATGAATAAAGGTAAGAAATTAATTTTTGGTTTATAACATTCTTAATATCATAAAATTAAATAATAAAGACAGAGTTTTCCACTATTGATTATTAATCGTTGACTGATGAATTCGAATTTGTTAAAGGGTATTTTTACTATTTAAGGTACTAACACTACTTGCGTTTTCTACACACATACTCGAGGTCTCGATAAAAATTTCGCGGGTCGGCCCGCCCTCATTTCGTTACGCTACCGGGGAGGAGCAATCAACCCAAGAACTCTTTAGTCAAGTGATAATGGGGAGAAATGTGAGATGCTCCATATGTTGACAGTCTTAAAATCAAATGAAATGCATTTAGTCCGTTAATATGAATCCCTGCACCTCAGCTCTTTACAAGGGATGAGCATGGAATTGATGAGTGAATGATAATAATGATGTATTGAATAACAGAGCAGATGTGGAATTGAAGACAGAGAAAAGGGGAAAAAAAAACTTGTCACAAAGTCACTTCTACATTAGTATTAGCCGCAACGTTCGCCATGGAATGTGTCACGTTTGTCCACAGAGGCCACTGTGGAATAATACAAATACGGAATAAAACATCTACTCTTAAAGCCACAAAATAATAACATAAAACATTATGACAACAATCTTTCAATAACAATTACTGAGGATATAAGATAAAAATTTCTACAGCACAAAAATTTACAACAGGAAACGCTGCCGGAATTCAAAATTAAAATAATTCAATAACTTTCTAACAATAAAAATTTAATCTGAAAAGAGTAAATCTCAGACGTCAAGATGCTTTTTGGGAGGAAGACAATAATAATAATAATGATGATGATAATAATAATAGCAACAATAATAATAACAATGAAATAAAAATGTTGATAAAGAATTTGTCACAAACAACTGCAGCGGCGAGCAACGGCAATAAAAAGTGACAGCACCATCATCGGTACCAGTAACAACGACAATAACAAAAACAGCTACAACAAACGCCGCGAACCGTTGCCAGCTCGTAACACCTGCGCCCCGTCTCCATTCGGAGCCCTCGTCCTTTGTCCGCGCGGCGCCCGGCAGTCAACAGGCACTCGCACGCGGCCGCCCATGCGTGCGGCGGGCGGGGGCGGCGCCAGTGGGAACTCACCGCTGCGCCCGCTCGCCCTCTCGCTCTGGCGTCTGCTCCGCTCCGCTCTGCTCCGCTCCGCTCCGCTCTGCTCTGCTCCGCTCTGCTCTCCTGTCGCG